GGGAGCTTGTTAGCCTCCCTCTTAAAGGAACAGGGGTCCCTAGGCCACACTGGGAAACCAAACACAGCATGAAAATAAAGTTTTATATTTTTCACTTTCAACTGAGTCAAACAGGCAGTGAGAGAGGCCACTAGAGGTTTGTGAGCAGGCGCAGATGAGGTCAGGTCTGCACTCTAGATGACCTTGGCTGCAAGACCCAGACTGGACGGGAAAGGTGTACAGTTCAGGAGAACAGAGGGCAAACCCTAACACTTTCTCCCGCTGGATAGATTAGGCATTTGTAATTTGTCTCATGCCCCACATGAGTTCCTTCCCACCTGAAAGTTTATCATGTCCGTCTATGGAACCACCAGGACACAAATCAGAGTCCATAAAAAAGTGGAGAAAAGACTAGAAATAACCCAACTACCCATCAACAAGGGAATGGAGTAATACATGTAGCACAGTCTCACCATAGTACACTATTCAGCAACAAAAAAAAAAAGTGATATGACTCATACAACAAATAATTCTCAAAATAAGTTTAATTGTGTGAGGAAAGCCTGACACATGATACACACTATTATCCCATGTACATAAAATTCTAGAAAATGTAAGCTATCAAAAATGACAGAAAGCAACCAATGGTTGCCCAAGGGACAGGAATGAATGGGAGCGGAGGACATCGGCGAAGGGCCAGAGGAGAGAACTCTGAGTGCACAAGGACACTCGCGGAGAGGGGTGATGGGGATGTTCATCATTTTGATTGTAGTGAAATTTCCATATAGATATATTTATACTTAAAACATCGCAAATTGTTCTTTAAATATATGCCTTGGTAAAGCGGATTGAAGTAGCGGTAGGTTAACGGGTGTCATTTGAGCTGGAAGACATGGTCTTGGCTTGCAGGAAAGCATTGGCCAAGTCAGAAGGAAGGGGCAGGCCAGTCCTAACCACCTGAATAAGTTATTTAACTTCTCTGAGAGTCAGTTGTAGGGGCAGGACGGGCACAGAGCAGGTTTTCTATGATCCGAGCAGACGGGTGAAGGAGTCGTCCTGGAGCCTTCGGTGGTTTCTGCAGGCTTATTATTGGGATTTACCAGGTACACGGCAGGCAGGGGTGCCGGGGGGGTCGGGAGGCTGGCAGGCCTCCCAGCTCCTAGCAAGTCCTCACTCTTCCTGGGCTCTCCAGCCTTCTCTGGTGGCCTTTACTTCTCTGCTCCTTTCACTCTGCTGCTCCGCTCTCTTCTTTAGCTCTCTCATTCTGCTGGCGTCCCCATGGCCCCACCCTTATAAGGCCAGTCCCTCAGCCCGCATGCCCACACCCCACTCCAGGTGCCCGCCATCAGGCATGTGTTCAGGACCGCAGGGATCCATCATCCATCCTAATGGCAGGAGGGCAGAAAAGCCTGATACTTTTTTACCTTACCCTACATCAGTTTAGGGTGGTCACAATAGAACCCATCTGAAGTGGTGGCTGTGAAGATTAAATGAGGCGAAGCATGTAAACCACGAGCAGAGGAGCAGTTGAATAGCAAAGTGCTCAATGAGTGGCAGGAAATTATAACAATTATTACTGCAACCTAAGCAGGGGCTGAAATAGTTTACAGATGTTTAAGCAGAACTGATGGGAGTTTTTTGGTTTTTTTTTAGGATCGATCTAATTACCACTAGTTACTTTCTCTCCAAAGTTAAACTGCCTCTTTTCCCTTCTCTCATTCTGTAACTGCCCTCCTAGTAAGTTCCACGTCCGGGGGAGGCCACAACCAGTAGCGGTGTGAGTAAAGGGTGCCCAGTGGTGAGCCCTATGGCTGTGGGGACCAAGGAATCTGAGTTGAGCAATAGCCTCTGGGATGAAGAACCAGAGTTCCTCAGTCCCATCCTCAAGGTTTTCAGCCACCACCACCTGGGCCCCCAGAATCATATCCAGGGAGCATCCTGAAGACAATAAAGCGGGTAGTATTTCCTCTTGGTTTTAATATTAAAGCAGATATATGCACCCCCAAATCTGGGAGGTGGAGAAGGCCAGATTTTCAGAGTGAGCTTGCTTTCTTAGGTTCCTTACACGCTGCTTCATGCTTATTCAGTCTCTGGAGATTCTGATAAGCCTCTCTGTGCCTCAATTTCTTCATCTGTAAAACAGGAGTTAATAACAGTAGCTATTTTTCTGAAGATGCAATGAATCAATGAGTGTAAACAGCCCAGAACACCATCTGATACATTTAAATGGTCGACTTTAAGGACTTTACCTCTTATTATGCTTCTTCAGTGCTGAGGTGTTGCCCAATTACCAAACATTAACAGTTTCCTTATAAGAAGCTATTTCAGGGCCTCCCCGGTGGCGCAGCGGTTGAGCGCTGGGTTGCGAGGCTGCCCGCTGCCTCTGCGGCGCCGGTTCGATTCCGGCTGCTCCCCGGCCACCGGAGGAGGGTCCCACATGGCGTGCAGACCTCCCCTGCCGCCCGCTGCTCCCCCCAGCAGTGTACCTCGGTCCTTCTGCCTGCTCTGCTCCCCGCTCTGGCTCTGGTGAATTCTCTCACCCTCCCGCGCTTCTGACTGTACCCAGTGCAAGTACGAACAAACAAATAAATAAATAAATAAAACATGCCTCTATAAAAAAAAAAAAAAAAAAAAAAAAAAAAAGAAGCTATTTCAGCCCCTGTGGGGTAAAAGTGATTTTGGCCATGGGTTTATCCTCCAACTCAGAGGCATCCTGCTTCTCCACAGAGCAGTTAGTACTGTACCTATTAATTTCATTCAACTAGAAAAGATACTGCAGATAGAAGAATCCAGTCAAGCTTTTTAATTAATTGGTAACTTTATTAACAACAGCATCTAAACACAGGTAAGAACACACACGAAGGGAACACAAGACTCATGCCTTCTTTGATAATGTCTGGTGCTCTTCTGGATTCAGGAAACGCCTGCAACGAACTCAGGACCCATCAGCCAAGAGCAAAACTGAATAACTGATCAGCCCCTAAGCCAATATAAAGGCTTAGGTAGATGGAGCCTCTGTAATCACACCAAGTAAAACTAAACTGCAAGAATCCTCCCACCTGAGGATGTGAGTGGACGATGCCCACTGCACAACCAACGACCAATCCCTTTGCCTCTCTGAAAGGGACCTCACCGATGCCCACCTTGCAAGATCTACCCTCGTCTCCTGAAAAGTAAATGAGGTGGTGCGTATAAATTAAACGTGTAAATTTCCTTTGGGAAGAGGATCAAGTTAGAGAAGGGCGAAGAACTAACGCTGCAAATTTATGATTCCCAAAAAAGGCGCCTAAAGGGAAGACCTACTGCAGCCACTTCCCGCACGACCCCGAAACACCATCACGGGCGGCCTCCCCGCTGCTGCCCTGCAACGACCAGGCGCAGAGCTGGGCAGGCGCTTCAGGAACATCTCCACGCGCCTCCGCCTTCACATCCCCTCCGGGGTGAGGCGCACTCGCCCGCCCGCGGCGGTGACGAAGGGCGGGGAAAGCGATGCCCCCCGAGTGATCTCCGCGCGCCGGGCGCGGGTGGGCGCTGTCGCTGCAGTGGACCCCGCCGGGAGTCGGGGCGCGAGGGGCTTGAGGAAGACAAGGGGAGACACCCCCGGCTCCTGCACAGCCGCGAGGACAATGCAGCCGCGAGCGGCCGGCGGGGCGGCAGGGCGCCCCCCGCCAACTAACGGGCGCGCCGGGACGGGCGCGGGGGTGCCTGGATGGAGCCCAGGGACCGCGCGCCGCAGCGGCCTGACCGGGGCTCGCGAGGGAGGCGGAGACGCAGGAACGACACATCGAGAAGCATTTCAACACCGCACAGGGAGCGGCGCGAGCCGGGAGCTGTGAACGCCGGCGGCGCGCGCGGGCCTCTGAACACCCGCGCCGTCCAGCGCAGCAGGGCTGAGGCCCGGGCGCCACGGCCCGACACGCCGGGGCCCACCGCAGGCGGCGTCGCGCGGGGAGTCTCCGGGTGGCGCAGTGTTCGCGGGACCCGGGATCGGCGTCCTGAGGTGCGTCATCTCCGCCTCGCATCGCGACGACCGCCCCGGAGCCGCCAGGACAGCCCGGGCCGGGGCGCCGGCGCTCAGCGCCCCGCTTACAAGTGACTCGGGAAAGCCAAGCGTGGCAGGTTCGGGGCGCGCCCCAGACTCAGAGCAAAGCCGCTTACGCGCCAGGAGCCTCGAGGCGGAGGCTGGAGAAGCTGCGCGCGCCGCCCCGAGGGGCTTTTGCCAACTGGAGCAACTTAGTGGGAAGTAACTGGGAGCGAGGCCGTGAACAAAGCTCTTTCTGGTGACCCGGTGGTGGCTCTGAAAAGAGCCTTTGGAGCCAAGCGGCCGGCGGGCGTCTGGGCGAGCGCCGCGTCCCGGGTGGCGGGGACTCACTTGGAGCTGGTGTACTTGGTGACGGCCTTGGTGCCCTCGGACACGGCGTGCTTGGCCAGCTCGCCGGGCAGCAGCAGGCGCACGGCCGTCTGGATCTCGCGCGACGTGATGGTCGAGCGCTTGTTGTAGTGCGCCAGGCGGGACGCCTCGCCCGCGATGCGCTCGAAGATGTCGTTGACGAAGGAGTTCATGATGCCCATGGCCTTGGACGAGATGCCCGTGTCGGGGTGCACCTGCTTCAGCACCTTGTACACGTAGATGGAGTAGCTCTCCTTGCGGCTGCGCTTGCGCTTCTTGCCGTCCTTCTTCTGGGCCTTGGTGACCGCTTTCTTGGAGCCCTTCTTGGGCGCGGGCGCGGACTTGGCCGGCTCAGGCATTGTGGAACGCAACACTGGCCAGCAAAGAAAAGTGGGAGAAGGGGCGGGCCTGATCCTTTTATAACCACCGCATGCAAATGAGGGCTCCAAAAGTCCTTCGTTTCCATTGGGCCGTGTAGGCGCCTGCGTTTGCAGTCATAGGCTACGTCACAACACTGATTCTTCACCTCATTGGCCGGCTCGGGAGCCAATTTAGGGCCAATGAAAACCTCGCTCCTGACCCCACCCCTAGGAAAGCTTATAAAGGCTTTTCAGCTGCTATTTTTTTTCAATTCTGTTTTCTTGCGAGATTCCGAGCTCCAGAGCTTCTGCTCCTCTCTTCCAGTCATGTCTGGTCGCGGCAAGCAGGGAGGCAAGGCCCGCGCCAAGGCCAAGTCGCGCTCGTCCCGCGCCGGGCTGCAGTTCCCGGTGGGGCGTGTGCACCGCCTGCTGCGCAAGGGCAACTACGCCGAGCGGGTGGGCGCGGGCGCGCCGGTGTACATGGCGGCCGTGCTGGAGTACCTGACGGCCGAGATCCTGGAGCTGGCGGGCAACGCGGCGCGCGACAACAAGAAGACGCGCATCATCCCGCGCCACCTGCAGCTGGCCATCCGCAACGACGAGGAGCTCAACAAGCTGCTGGGCAAGGTGACGATCGCGCAGGGCGGCGTGCTGCCCAACATCCAGGCCGTGCTGCTGCCCAAGAAAACCGAAAGCCACAAGGCCAAAAGCAAATAAGCGCTGACAAAGTAAAACCAAAGACCAAAGGCTCTTTTTAGAGCCACCCAGGTTTTCAAAAAAAGAGCTAATGCGCTGTTCCGTGACCAGCCCCTCGTTTGACACTTTGGTGGCTCTTAAAAGAGCCTTTGGGTGAGTGGGGGTGCCAACCTCCTAATTACTTGTTCTTGCCTGGCTTGTGACTCTCCGTTTTCTTGGGCAACAAGACAGCCTGGATATTGGGCAGGACGCCCCCCTGGGCAATGGTGACACCCCCGAGTAACTTGTTGAGCTCCTCGTCATTCCTCACAGCTAGTTGCAAATGGCGGGGGATGATGCGCGTCTTCTTGTTGTCGCGCGCCGCGTTGCCCGCCAGCTCCAGGATCTCGGCCGTCAGGTACTCCAGCACCGCGGCCAGGTACACCGGCGCGCCCGCGCCCACCCGCTCGGCGTAGTTGCCCTTGCGCAGCAGGCGGTGCACACGCCCCACCGGGAACTGCAGCCCGGCGCGGGACGAGCGCGACTTGGCCTTGGCGCGGGCCTTGCCTCCCTGCTTGCCACGGCCTGACATTACGGCTAAAAATGCAGTGGCAGCTCCTTTTTCAAGGAGAAAGATGTGGAAAGGGGACCCAATTTGATGTAATTTATAAGAGCCACCGGGAGGGGTGAAGGGCCGCAGCCTGATTGGCCGGGAGCGGGGCCCAATCTCGCAGCCAATGGGGACGCGGCTGCGGGCTCCTCGTTTGCCTCCAGCTCCGCGAGGAAGTGACGATTCCGCGAGTAGCGACCAATCGCTGCGGACCACCTTAGGCCCCTAATTTGCATAGCGATGTTGTTAAAGGGAAGACGCGCGGACGCCGGCGCGGCTTGTTTGTGCTTCACTACGTGGCGGTTGTTTTCCGGCCGAGGCCGGGGCCTCCCAGGGAGGGCCGAGGCCGCCACTCCCGCCTTCGGGCCTTTCCGGCCGGTTTTCGCGGCGCCCTGATTACCCCCCAGGCCCCGCCCTCGGCGTGGCGTCACCGCAGAGCCCCCGACGGGTGCGCCGCCCGGGCCGGCTCCATCCGGGCAGTCGCCGCCCCGCCCGCGCGCCTCTGCGCCGGGGCCGCGTGACCGCGCCCGCGCGGGGAGCCTCCCCGCTCGCCTGCAGGCGGCGCCGCGGCGCGTGGAAACGCCCTCGGGCTTGCAGGATGTCGCCCTCCGCCCGGCCGGGACGGGGCGCGGGCCCCCCTGCCTTCCCCGAGGCCGGGCGGTGGGCTGGTCCCCGTTACACGAAGACGGCTGGGAAAGCGGCAGAAGCCCGCGCGGGCCGCGCCCGGCGGGGAGAACTCGCGGGGCCTGGAGCCCTGTGAGGGCGTCGGGATCGAAAAACCCTCTAAAGCGGCTCCACCGAGGAGCAGGAAATCGTGAAAGTGCTGAAGGCACAAGAAAAGTCAGAAAGCTAAATTTAAAGTGACGCTTTTCTAAGGAATAAAATTTAAAAGCGCATTCTGTTACAAACACACTCTAGTCATGTCCTCATCCGATTCCTCGGCCCTCCCGAAATCTGAGCGTCTCTCCGGGCTCTGTGTCCCTCTCCACCGGCCTCCTTCGCTCTTCACTCCCATTGCTCTGCACATCCTAATTTGTTTCAGAAGTTCACACCCTTATTCCTGCTGACTGTCCCAACAACCTGTCCAAAGAGAACGCATCCAAACAACCACCCTCGGCCCCGCTTCGCTCTCCCTGGACCGCACCGACGATCTCCCAGGAACCTCCGCCAGAGTCTGTGCTTCCCTGCATCTCAGCAACTTCTCTCTCCGGCCTTTCTCTCCATGCTCCTCCTGCTGCCTCCTCATCCCTCTCCGACTTCAGCAACAGCCCCCGCAGACGCGTTTGCTAATCCACCATCTGCCCTTCACAGAAGTCTTTCCTGAAGGTTCTGTTTCTTCCTCCTCGGCTTCCCATTCCTAGAAGTTCTACAACCCCCAACAGTCTTCACCCTTTCCTGAGTATTCTGAGGACGCAATAGAGAAAAGAAGACTTGCATTATGTTCCTGGAGCCTCTCGCTTATTCTCAACTTTACTCAACCACACTTACCAAGTACTTGCTACTTGGTAGCATGAGAAGAGGCAGTTATTGGAGGGAAATATCTATTACTAGAAGTGAATGAATTTGCGTTCTGGACAATTCATAAATTTCTTGTTTATCTCGTTAGGGTGAGTCTCTCCCAAAGAAACCAGTCCACTGAAAGTTCTGATACTGTCAGCTTCTTAAAACTACAGGGTCTGAACCCAAATAGTGGGGATCCTATCACAACTCTGATACCCTGAGAAAGGCCCTGCTTGAGGGACTAGTTAGCCCTCCCTCCCCCATCTATACTCTTCTATCACAGCAATCCTGGGCTATTAGGAAGAATGAAGGGAAAAGATATTGTTACATAAAGGCATAATTATGTGAAAAGCCCTCTGCTAGGAGCACCTATCAAGCAGATATACTTGTTTCATAGATAAGGGAACTAAGGTTCACGTTGCTACGTACAAAGACATGATTAGAACCCAAGTCTGTCTGACTCAAAGATTGTGCTCTTTTACCTTTTCATTCACACTGTTTCACTAACTACTGATAGATATTGAGCTTCACAAACTCACTTTTCCCAGCCTCCCTTTCTTCCTCTGGAGGAAGGGAGAGAAAGAATGAATGTGAATAGGCTGATACTTTAGATTCCATCCAGCTATAAAACCTTGTTAGAGAAGTCTAGCTAGGCCAATAGCCTACAAATTAAATTCTACCAGGCTCAAGCTCAATTACTATCTATTGGTCCCCAGCGGTCATTTCCCAACATTCTCACCAGAGCCATTAGAAAATAAAAGAGAGCAGGCCATTTGTAAAAAGCACACACAGTCACAAACAAAGTCTGGATCTTATTTCTTTTAACACCTCTGGGATTTTAGCCAAAAGCAACCGAGTTTCTTCCCAGGAAATCTAGTTAATCAAATATTTATCTTGGACTCTAGCTCCATTCTGAAACCATAGTGGTCATGATGGTCATTTGCTCTTTCTTCTTGTATTCTAAGAATGTCAAGGTGGGGTGGCAACAGGGGGACAAAAGTACCCCTACCCATTTTGAACAAGGAAAAAGAAAAAAGCCAGTATTTCAATTGACAAGTTGTGTTTCAGGGCCCAGACACTGTTCACTATCTTCAAGACATTCAAGACATTGCCTGGACCAAAACCAGCCATGGACAACAAAAGATGCCAGACAACATTCAGAAGCAAGGGGTCTCAGTCAGTTCAGGATCCAAATTCAAGTTTAACCACGATTTAGCAGAAAGCAACCGATCAGACTCTACCAATTTGCATTTTCTACATTTGTTCTTCCACCTCATAAATACTGCCCAAAGTCCCATCCCTGGAGACACTGACTTGAGAATCTTACCTCCTACTGTAGTAGGAGGGGTCTCATTAGCTCCCCACTGCTCCTTAGACAAAGACACACCCCTCCTAGCAAGGTCCAGGTGGTGTGAGTCCTGTCCTCCCCATTACCATCATCCTGTGGGAGGGACGTGGGGGGGGGGCGCCAATCACGCCTAACTACACTAGAAAAAAACACACACCCTCGCCGCCGCCCCCCACCCCGCGTCGCTAACCCCCTGGCCTTTGCATGTGCAACTCCACAGTCTCACTATGAAGGACTGCTAAGAGGCTGTCATGCTCTTTTTTAGACTGTTCTCTAAAATCTCAGAAGTTTTCTCTGCCCCCAAGTCTGGGCAGCATGCCGCCTGGCCACTGGTCGTCGGCCCAACATGGTACACTGACGATTGCCACCGCAATTGCCCGCTCACTTGCGCATAACTAACTGGAAACATAAAGTCTTTGTTCGCCGGTGACCAGGACTGGTTCGGCGCACAGTAATCATGAATTCAATAACTGCAAGGAACTTCCATGTTCTCGTATGTGCGACAGAGGAGCTGGGCTAGATGACCTACAAAAATGTGTTGCAATAAAATGGGTCAAAGAATTCCAGTCTCAATTGCGCCCGTATCCGCTCTGCCCTGCTTTCCTGTGTGTCCGCAGCCCGACCCACGCCGGCCACGGTTCCGGTGGGGCCCCGGCGCCCTCCTACTACACTTCCCGTGATCCTCGGCGCCCTCCTACTACACTTCCCGTGATCCTCGGCGCCCTCCGCGTCTATCTTCGGCGGCCAGGACTCCATTTCCCAGCATGCCGCGGGGCGCGAGGCCCGCGCTTCGCCCTGGACGCCTGACCTGGTTCCCGAGCGACGGCCGCGGTCGCTGAGCCCGAGCGGAAGGTAGAGGGTCCGGCCCGGGGTTCCGCGGGGCCCTGGTCCGTCCAGAAGCCCCGGGCTGCACGTGCGCCCCAGGCCGCTTCCGGCCTCTGCTCGCGAATCCCTTTAGTAACGACGCGCTCGCCCGCGAGCCCCGCTACCCCTCACCCGCCGCTGCCCGCCGCGGGGCCCGGAGCCCCCGTCACGCAGGAGCGGGCGCCGGGGGGCCCCTCGGGGGGGTGGGGGGCGGGCAGGACGGGGCGGGGGCGGCCGGGGCGCTCACCTGACCTCCCTGCCGCCCGCGTCCTCGTCCCCAGCAGCCGATGCCGAGCGCCGCGCGGGCCGGGCGCCTGCTGTCCATGGCCGGCCGCGGCTGCCTGTCCCGCGGCGCGGCCGGGTCGGGGGCCGGCGGCCCGGTCGAGGCCGCCATTCGCGCGAAGCTGGAGCAGGCCCTCCGCCCCGAGGTGCTGGAGCTGAGCAACGAGAGCGGCGGCCACGCGGTGCCCCCGGGCAGCGAGACGCACTTCCGCGTGGCCGTGGTGAGCTCGCGCTTCGAGGGGCTGAGCCCCCTGCAGCGGCACCGGCTGGTCCACGCTGCGCTGGCGGAGGAGCTCGCGGGGCCGGTCCACGCGCTGGCCATACAGGCGCGGACGCCCGCCCAGTGGAAGGAGAACCCTCACCTGGACACGAGCCCCCCCTGCCTGGGTGGAAGCAAGAAAACCCGAGGGAGCCCCTGAAACCGCGAGAGGGAGCGTCAGGATCCAGATGGGCTGAAGGAGAATAAGCTACTGGACCCTCTACCCCTCTATACAATCTGGTGTTTGCAGGGGTGAGGACCCTGGACCCCGTTCTACGAGCATGTACTCGCTCTCTGGAGGTGGTGTCACTGCAAGTCAAAGCTAAGCCGGGGACACTCACTAGTGCCCTTGCCCTGGACTGGTCAGGAAACGCAGTCACTTTTTTTCATGTTAAATTGTGACTGAGGAACCACCAGACCTGATGAGTTGAAAACAATCCTGTACATTAAAAGAAAACTTAGCCTCTGAAGTGCACTGTTGTGTTAAGGGCCTGTTGAATCGGTGCTATAGATGTTCTTGGGAGAAGAAAGACAGTTGAGTTCTAAGGAAGTCAGAAAGGGCTTCACAGCAGAGGTCCTGGTTGGATCTTTAAAGGAAAGCAGGGAATTAAATCCGGAAGGAGAGGCAGAGTGTTGCAGGCAGGGAGAACCCAAGTCGAGGTAGCGTTGTTGAACAAGACAAAGACATATTTGAGTCACAGCTGGGGGCGTGTTTGGCTTTTTAACAGCCTGTCTACTTCCAAAAAGATTTGTTTGTAAAGAAAATCTAAAAAAAAATTAAGAAGGCAGTGAAAAGATGATAACCTAGAGACTGAGGCTGGAGGGTTGAGAAAAACTTTCTGTTGCCCTTAGGAGCTTCCAAATCTGTTTCTGAGGGGAATTCAATGTCTAGATAAGCAACTTTCTGGTGATCTCAATGTGGAAAAAGAACTTATATACTAAAGAAAAGGCTTGACTAACATAAATCTTGACAATTCTGGCTAAAGAGTTTAAATTACATCTGCTTGGGAGCAAGTTGAGGAGGGACATGAGCAACATTTGAGGAGGGACATGCTGGAAGCATTTTGGAGCACATTTGGTAGTGATATGCAGATGGGTTGGCACGGAGGTTGGTGACATTGAAATCCTGAAAAGTGAAGTGGAACCCTGGCATGGAGGTCGGCGGTGGGAATGGAAAAGAAGTTGATTTGAAAATTAAGGGGAAAAGTCAGAAAATGGCTTGAGGATGGAAATGAACTAGAGGGAGGGTTCATGGCAACTCCCAGGCAGTGGTTTTCGGATCTCACAGATCAAAATTTCTAAAGGGGCTTGTTTAAAATGTGAATTCTGGATTCTGTCTCTTCCAAAAATAGGATTCTGATCCCAAAAGTCACAAATGGCATCCTTAGTCTATATATTTAAGGATACAAGAGGATTTACAGGAAAGTAGTTTCTATTTTCAAGAAACATTCCATCTGTTTAATTTGGGTTTGTTTTTTTTTGTTTGTTTTGTTTTTTTAATTTTTGTAGTCTCCTGTGGTAAGAACACTTGACGTGAGATCTGCCCTCTAAGTGTACAATACATCAGCAAACTGGGCAAGATGCTCTGCAGCGGATGTCTGTGACTTACTGGCACTTACCTGAAACCCACTGATTTTTCTCCCCCACCATTCCAGTCTTTGATTCTATGAATGTGGCTGTTTTAGATAGTTCATACAAACGGAATCATACAGTATTTCTCTTTGTAACTGGCTGGTCTCAGCACAGTGTCCTCATGATTCACCCATGTTGTCACATTATTGCAGAATTTTTTTTTTTAAGTCAAATAGAATCCCATTGCATGCGTATAGCAGATTTTAACCATCCATTTTAACCATGAATGAACATTTGGGTTATTTCCGAATCTTAGCTCATAGCGCTGCGTGAGCATGGGAGTGCTATTATCTCTTCAGTTCTTTTGGGTAAATACCCAGAAGTGGAGTTGCTGAGTCATATACTTCTATTTTTAACTTTCTGAAAAACCTCCATACTCTTCCATTGCAGCGACACCATGTTGAGTTCCCATCAACAGCCCGCGGGAGTTCTGGTTTCTCCACATTGTTTTTTGTGTTTTTGTAATAGCCATCCTGACGTATGAGGTGGCCTCTCTTTGTGGTTTTGCTTGCATTTTCCTGATGACGAGAGACAGCCTTTTTCATACACCTGTTGGCAATTCAGCGTAATCTCTGTTCAAGCCCTTAGTCCAGGTTTTAATCAGGTTATCAGTTTCTTTGCTGCTGAGTTGTGGGACATTACCCCAGCTTTCCAGCCTGGGCGAGCGAGAGGGCTCCTCTGTCTGTGCGCGTGGAAAGAGCAGGATAGTGAAGCCAACTCCGGAAGTAAACGTGAGGCGGTGCTCTGGCCTTCAGGCTGGGGAGCGCAGCGCGGAACGCAGGCGGAGAGGCAAAAAAGCAGACCCGGCCATTTTTGGATTTTGAGGATTTTGTTTCCTTTTTATTTTTCATCAATATTTTTCATTTCATTTTTCACATCAACAGAGTTGTGTTTAGGGTTCCCCAGGAGACTAAGGAAGATGGATGGGTCCCTCCAGGGGGTGCAGGGGAGAGGGCTGCGTCCAGCAAGTGAAGGGGGAGGGCGCACGGCGCCGGGGACTGGAGGAGAAGGCAGTCCTTTGAGCACAGACACCAAGGAGTTGAACAGTCACCATCTGGTTCAGTGTTACAAATGGGGGGAGTGGCCGTGGGAGGGGGCCCGCCAGACGCAGCATGAGGAGGGTGTATTTGGATTTTCTTTTTTTTGTTGTTGTTTTCACATTTTTCCTTTTAACTTCTTTTTTTTTTAACATTTTACAAACAGCTAAAAACTACAACACATCACAGCTATGGGGGTGAGGAGGGGCACCAAAGAAAGCAGCCACACAGAGTAGGGTTGGGCAGGGGCAGCTTAACCTACAGGGCCGATCCAGTGGAACGGTGAGATGGGGAAACTGAGGCTCCTGGTCCCTGCACTGGGGTGCCCAACCACTTCCCACTTCAGAGGAGGTGCTGGCAGGACCCTGCTTCCTGCCCCTGCCCCAGCTCCTTGTGCTTTTTGATCTGCTGGTTTGACCACGCGCCTGTGTCTTCCCTCCCCTGCTCCTGCCCGAGAGGGCACGGGTATGGCATGTAGGGCGGCTGTGCGGTGCCTCTCTGTGCTATGGCGGGTGGGGCCTCTCCCTCCAGAGATGGCCTGTGCTTCTCGAGAGGAGCAGCGGAGATGGACTTGTCAGGGGCCCCCAGATCTCCCGAGACTGTGGGACTCTCAGCTTTAGTCTGGCCCAGGGCTCCTCCCTCCAGGCCTGGCACAAACACAGGATTAAGGAAGTACCGTGGGAGGCAGGATCGTGTGCGCGTCCACTGACATTACCCTTGACTTGTATTTTAGGACAGCAGAGTGACACCCCCACCCCACAACACATACACACGCAACACATACACACGCACGCTCACACGCGCACACACGCGCACACAGTCCTGCCAAGCTGCCTCAGAACTTAATATATAAATAAGACTCCGAAAGCTAATTTCACTGAGGGGGAAGTGGAGGCCAGGGGGCTGAGGTTTATTGCTACTCCCCCAGCATCCAACAGGAGGTGTGCGAGGGCACCTGTGGCCCTTCGGACTCTGAGGAGAGCTTTTGGTCCATGTCCCACATCGCGCCCCAGCCCCCAGCAGGAGCACATGCCCAGGGCTTGGGCAGAGGGAATTAAGGGGCAGACGGAAGCCTGTTCTGGAGCCTGCAATAGCGGGGGCCCTTCACTAACACTGGGGGAGAAGGGAGGGGCCAAGCCTCTGCTTGTGCAAAGTCAAGGGTGGTAGGAGGTGGGGAGTAAGAGCTACACCCCGAAACTGGGGCCTTCCCTGTAGTCCCTGCCCACGGGGTCACACACATGCACACACGCGCACACACGGCTAAGACACCAAATGGGCGGGGGAGGAGGGCTCTGGGGCCAGAGAGGCAGGGCAGGGAGGGGAGAGAAGGGGCTGTTGGTCTCACAGTGTGCCTGCCACCCCGAAGCCCCGGGGACCCCTCACTGCAGCACCTGCCCCCGGGTCTCGGGCAGCTTCAGGGCCAGAGAACTCCCAAGGGCGAGGGCAGCTGAGGCAAAGAGGATGGGCGCGGCCTTGGTGATCCCCACAAAGGAAGTGAAGATGCTGATGCCCAGCACGGCTGCCAGCTTGCACAGGGCGTTCAGGAAGCCGAAGGCTGTGGTTCTGCTCAGAGCCACCCCGGGCGGCAGCGGGTCGGCCAGGAGGAGACACAGGAAGACGGGGGGGGGGGGGGGGGGTTGGGGCAGAGAAGGGGGAGGCAGGCAGCATCCAAGAGGGAGAGCACGGGCAGAAGGATCAGGGACGAGGGATGTCCGCCAGGGACGGGAGAGAAGTTGGGAGGCGAGAGGGAAGAGAGACCCAAAAGTAGATTCTCAGGCGTGAACACACAAGCTCTGGTTCTCAGAGAAGACATTCAGTGGGAATGTGTCTCCTTCTACCCCCAAGGCTCCTCCCACTCATCCCCCCAACCCTCCTTCTCCCCTGCACGCGAGGCCCCCTCCACCAGGATCCAACTACCTCTTGTCCGAGGGGTAGAGTTCCACAGTCAACACGTCCAGCGCGTTCCAGGAGGCAATGCTGACCCCCCCAAAAAGGCAGAGCAAAGCAATCATGGCTGACTCGCTGTTCCCAAAAGACAGGAAGAAGCAGGAGACGCAGGACATCACGCTGGAGCCGGCTGGAGCCAGGGGAGGAGACAGCAGTGAGTCCAGGTGCAGCGGACCCTCCACCCACCCTGGCCATCAGCCCGCTTTGAGGGCAGCCCGGGGTGACTCTCGCCCCAGCAGCCGAGGAGAGCGCTTCTCACTCCTGCCGGAGCTCCCTCATCACGGGCTGGTTAATAATATCAGCAACAACCGCTTCTTCAGTGCCAGCTGTGGGCCATCCACCCTGATGCCCATAGGCACCCATCTAACCGAGGCACCGTCCTCACCCCCATTTTGCAGAAGAGAACTGGGTCACAGAGGGTAAGGAACTTGCCCAGGTAGGTGGCGGAGCTGAGGTTCAAAGCCAGTAATCTCGAAGCCTGTGTCCTTGAGGGCTCACTATCCGCCTACCTCCTGTACCCCCAAAGTAGCTTCCACGCAGGAACCCCTAAGCCGAAGGCATTAGAGAGAACCTTCCCCGGGTAGCTCTTCCACAGACTGTCAAGAAGCCACCAACAGCCTCCCTCTGCCCAGGGGGCCCCCAAACAATGCACAGAGCCTGCCCGGCCCACCCGCCGGCCCCTCACCGAGCATGCGCAGCCGGCCGATCTTGTCCATGAGCAGCGCAGACACGATGTTCCCGGGGAGCACAGCCAGCGTCCCCAGGAAGCTGACGAAGTACACCATGTAAGCGCCCTCGCCCGTCCCGGTCACGTCCAGCGGGCAGCCCTCCTTGTTGTGCAGGAACGTGCTGTTCACCAGACGGCTGTTCACAAACTTGTACTGAAACAGGTCTGGGAGCCAAGGCCAAGACAGGAGGGGGGTCAGGGCAGTGAGCCTGGGGCCAGCTTGGGGGGCCCTGCCTCTAGCAGCGTGGCTCCCACAGCCATTGGGGGCACTCATTCCAAACCACAGGGGACCCCGCGGCCGGACGGGCCTTTCCAGCACACGGTGACCGCAGCCCATGGAGCGGATCCCTGTGCTGGCCGCGCCCCAGCTTCCTCATTAGCGCTCGCTGGACTTATGCGTCCTCACGGTCCACTCTAGCTGGCACTAAGCCGTGTCATGAAATATTACTGAGAAAAATACTAAAAATCATTAAAAGTCCTATTCGCTGTTTCTCCTGTAGCGGGAAAGCTCAGTCTAGCCGAGAAAACCAGCATTTCACCTGCATCTAGTTGAAGAATCACTATTAAAAAGATTAAGGCAATGATCCAACCTCTTTCCCACCAAATATCCCTGTTACTGTTTTTCTGTATCCCAAGGGCCCTGTTTGGAAGGACTGTGCCCTCTTCTGAAGTGCATCTTTAATGAATGAGTACGGCTGCACTGAGGTACCGCGATGCTTTCATCCCAGCCAAAGGCAAAGACACACAATGCCTGGATCCCGCGCTGCGCAAAAATGTCCCGTTTCCATTTGATTTTTGGAGTGACTGGTGGTAGCGAATGGGCCCCCATACCACCTCCCCCAAGGCTCAGCTGGGAAACCCTGAGCTGGGGCGTGAGGAGGCCTCCCTTCCCCCCAGGTGCTCCCACCTCCCGGGGACAGCCCTCACCGGTGTTGTAGAACACGGTGTTGACAAAGGTGCAGTTGCGGAAGAAGGTGTTGCTGGACGTGACGTCCTCAAAATAGCACTCCTCGAACAGGGAGTCCTCAAACGTCACTGACTTCAGGCGCAGCCCGATGAACCTGCAGGGCCAGGTGGTGAGGCCCTCACCCCAGACCCTCCAAGACTCCTCCCTCAGTGAAGAGGGGGCCACGGAGGAGGACCTCAGGTACTCGCGCCCCAACACCTTCTGTTTGCACAGGGGGCACGGGGACAGGGGAGGCGTGGGGCGGAGGGTCCCACGTACTTGTCATTGAAGTACTGCCCCCCTCGGTGGATCTGGTTCTCCAGCGTGAAGTTGAAGGTCACATGTTCCACACGCTCCCCCGGGAACACTTTGGTGCGCGCGGCGTAGTCCACCGCCTGGAGGTGGCGGATCATGTCGGGAAACCAGACGGTCAGGCCGTAGTAGCTGAAGAGCGGAGGAGGGGTTTACCACAGGGCTCCAGCAGAAAGTGACCACAGTCCCTCAAGCGGACACCGTGCGGCCAGGCCCGCGCGCTGCTCCTGCCCCTCTTCACCAAGATTCTGTGACTCTGTTCTAACCCCCACCCACCCCCTGCCCTGTTGTCTGCCATCAGCTCTCCTCTGCCTAAAACAGTCTCCCCATTACTCCCCGCACCCTAATCTGGGCTGGGCTGGGCAGTCACCCCTGCGCTCCCAGAGCATCTTGTACCCCCACCCCTCCACACACACCGCAGCCTGGCGCTATTTGACAGCCGGTCTGCCCAGCTCCCCGAGTACAAACTCCTCCGTGAGGACTGGAGCCCCATCCAGTTCACCCCAGCACAGTCCTGCTCAGAGCAGACGCTTAATACTGGTCAGCCTATGATGTTTGTTGAATGAATGAACGAAGTAGAGGAGCCAGATGGAGGATCAGAGGGGAGCTGGGCAGCATCTTTCCTCATCTTTCACCCCCTCCCCTGCCATTTCTACTCCTCTCCCAGCCACAACCAAGGCGCCCACTCCCAGCTCCTCACCTGAATGACATGGTGAACCACACGCCCATCATCATCAGGGTGATGCGTCGATATTCGGGACCAAAGCAGGAGAGGAAATTCCCCCAAACCTAGGAGGAACAGAACAAAGTCAGACACTGGCAGCACTAACTTCCAGCACCCCAAGATCCCCGTTTTTCTGCCGTCCCACCTCCTTTCAGCTCACCCATCACACCTCACCCAGACTGGAGCCCCAACTTTCTTCCCACCGCTCCCACTCCCTCCTCTCTCCACTCGCCCATCCCCATTACCTGCCCCCCCAGGCTCAAGGCCCGGACACCCCAGCGCTGATACCAGGTCCCGGTATCAGACTGGATCTCAATCAACTCATCCTCCTGGTGGATCGTCTTAATGTGGGTCACCTGGAGTCAAGAAGAAGGGGGATCACGGTGTCTGCATTTCCTCACCCCCCCATCACGAAATGGGAGGTCGGGGTGGATACATTGTCCTGACAAGTCACTTTGGGGGCAAGTGCGGTTGGCACCGTCTGGGAAGGTGGGGGGTTAGCACCCAGAGGAGAGCCCAGTGGGGTTGGGGCCGCAGGCGCGGGAACTGGGGGCTGCGCTTACGGAAAAGACGCGCTCCGGATGCCCCTTGGCGCGCATGTTGGTGTCGTGAACCTGCTTCAGCACCATCCAGGCCTCGTCATGCTTCCCGTTCTAGAGCCACAGCAGACACAGTCAGCCCCTCCTGGCCCAGGGCTACAGACCCTCTCCCTCCAGCCTGGCTCACGGGGCACAAAAAGGCCCCCACCCCAATCCCGCTCAGAGTGGGTGTCAGCTCTGAAACAGCGTCCACGGCAGGGCCATAGAAAAATATGCTGAGACTTGGGCACCAGCAGGGGGAGTCCAGGGGCAGGCTCGAGCACAGGTCCTGGGGGACCCCCAGCACAAGGAAAGAAGAAACCTGACGCCAAGGGGAGTGGTGCCCTATGCAGTCAAAGAGGGGGCAGCATCCCAGTCCCGAGGGACCAGGCCGGCGGAGGGGAGGGGCAGGGGGAAGGGGGAAGGACTTCCTTTGGGCTGTGAAGTCAGGGCCAGGGCCTGCAAAATCTTAAGCCACCCATGACTGAGCTGATCCCCTGGTTTCTCCACCCACAGAACCCCCTGGAGATGTGTCCCAAGACAAGGAAGCAAGATAAAATCCCGCATGAGAAAAGAAGGCAGCCAGGAAGGACCAAAGCAAACCCAGGGTGGGCGTTTGAACACAGGGGCCCTGCTGCCCCGCCCCGCCCCGCCCCGCCCCGCCCCGTCACCTCCAGGAAGAAGCGGGGGCTCTCAGGCTGTGTGGTCAGAGCCCCGATGGCAAACACAGAAGGGAAGGCGCAGACGAGGACAAAGACCCTCCAGCTGTGGAACTGGTAAGCAGACCCCATCTGAAAGCTCCACCCTGGCAGGGACAGTCTCCGCGTCAGCAAAGCAGCCAGAGGCCGGGGGCCCCAGCTCAGGGAGCACAGGAGAGGAGGCGTGAGGGGTGCATTGCCTGGGGCTGCTCACCATAGTGGGGGATGATGGCCCAGGCCATAGCAGCTGCGTAGACTCCACCAATCATCCAAAACATGCAGAGCCAGCTCAAGTGCTCCCCACGTTTCTCCTGGGCCAGAAACTCCGAGAAATAGGAGAAGACAATGGGGATGGACCCTCCAATCCTGGAGGGCATGGCAAGAATTCAGCCTGGGAAAGTGGGCGCACCTCTGCTCCCCTGCCTCCGTGCTCTGGGTCCCCCCACCCGCCCCTTTCATCTTCCAGACCTTGACACGGCTCCTTCTCACACACACTGCCCTCAAGCTCCCCCCACCACCAGCCACCAAGCAACCACCATGGACGCTGGGAAGCAGGTAGAGGAGGACAGAGTTGGAAAGACAGTCACAGGAAAGAGGGGAGATCCCCGGAGGAAGACAAAGGGCAAAGGGGCGTGTGAGGGCAGGTATGTGGGCGCAGGTGCTGAAGAGCTGAGACCAGGCAGAGGCTGAGGAGCACGGGAGTGGGGCGGTCACGGGGCGCGTGAGGGCATCAGCACGGCCTGCCATCAAATGCAAGAAACACATGGACTCTGGGAAGGGCAGAGCCCAAGGGGCCACAGGACCTAGCGGAGAGGCTGAGGAGCTCCGGGCCTCCTCATGGAACCAGCCTTGAGTGAGCTAGAGGGCGGTCCCGGGGCTCAGGAGTGGAGCAGACATGAGACCAACGGATCCTGGCCCGGGAAGCCTCCCTGAAGACGGCGGGGGGAGAGAGGAATTCATTCCTTCAACCCAAATATAGCTGAGGCCACGGGGGTGCCTGACAGGTGGGTCCTGGAGACAGCAGAGCGGCCAGGGCACAGCGCCGCCCCCAGGGACGCAGCAGGTGGACACTCACCCTACCCCAGAGAGGAGGCGGCAGAAGAGGAAAGTGCCATAACCCTGGACAAAAGATGAGAAAAAGGCGAAGACGCTGTTGACGGAGAGAGAGATGAGCAGACACTGTCTCCTGCCCAGCCGGTCAGCCAGGCCTCCCCAGAGGAAGGCCCCCACCATCATGCCCAGGTAGACGATGAGGCCTGGAAGGGAGAAAGCAGAGGCACGGGGGATGAGCAGACACGCTCCATGCTCCTCCTGAACATCAGAATGAGCTCAGCCTGCAGCAGAACGGCTCAGGGCGCCTGAAGGGCGTCTAGAAGGAAGCGAAGTCTACCCAGAGGTGAGAGCAAGGGGGAGATGAAAAGTGTGAGCAGACGCGCAAAGTCCCTCTCCAGGCAGGGATGCAGACAAGGGAGGACCCCAGAATTCGCCTTCTCTTCCTCTCTTGCTTGCTCCCACTTCTCACTCCTGTCACACCCACAACACCCACCTCTGCTTGCCCGGGTGCGGAATGGTGCTGCCTGGACTCACAGCCCCATCCAGGGGCCCCATCCAGGGGCCCTCTGTCCTGTCTGCCTCAATGACCTCAAAGCAGTAGGCGGAGCCGCTCATGTTCCCTCCACACCCCCCCACACACACCAGGACACCCCACCGCAGAACCCATGCATGACACTTCCCAGCGCCAGGACTTCCGAGCTTGCAACCTGCCTTTCTCGCTCCCTCCACGAAATCAGTTCAAGTTATCTTAACCGTCCTCTACCGCAAACTGCATTTCCCCCAGGCCCCAGCCAAGCCCTAGGAACAGGGAGTGACTGGCAGTTTCACAGCGGGCAAGACCTGAGCCTCGGGGCGGGGGTGGAGGGCCTTCTCCTCGGGTCCATCCCAAAGGGACAGCAGCGGCCCCTGCGCATCCCCAAGGCCAACAGGGCAAGTGCAGCCAGCCTGGCTGAAGGCGGGTTCTTCCTGCCCTCACCACCCAAACTGACCCTCCCCATTTTAGCAAGTGGGTCTGGGTGCTTCTTGCACCCCCAGTCAGGGAGGGGGGGACCGGATAGCAAGGAAAAGCCTGAAGCAGCAGAGCCCCCGCCCCCCGCGCCGCCTCTGCCACGAACAGGGTAGGTCACCAGCCGCCCCGGCGCTCGCTCGCAGCCCAGGAGGGGGTGTGCGAGGGGCGGACTGCAGAAGACCCTCTGGGGCGTCTGGGGAGCGGGGTGCGGGAGCCGGCGCGGCCGCGAGCCTCACCCAGCATGCCCTTGTTGGAGTCGGACAGACACATGTCCTTCTCGGCGCTGGGCAGCACGAAGCCCACCACGAACACCTCGACGCCGTCGGCCATGAGCGCCAGCCCGAGCACGAAGTAGAGAGTCCACTGGAAGCGGCCGTGGCCGCACTCGCGCAGGATGGCCTCGTACTGCTGCGCCAGCTCCTCGCGGTCCTTGCGCCGCTGCGCCTCCCCCCGGCCCCCCGGGGCCGCCCCCTCGCCCAGGCCCCCCCTCACGGCGGCCAGGGGCGCCCCGTCGGCCAGCCGCTCGCCCTTGCCCCCGGCCTCGGCGCGCGGGATGCCCTGGTATTCCCCCTCGTAGATCTCGTCGTCCTCGTCGTGGCCCTCGGTGGCGTCGCTCGAGGCGCCGCCCTCGTCCTCGTCGGCGGCCGCGTCCCCGCGGTAGTAGCCGTCGGCCGGGGCGGGGAAGTCGTCGTCGTCGTCGTCCTCCTCGAAGCGCGAGTAGGAGCGCCGCGAGTACTCGTCCTGCACGCGGTCCAGGCCCTTCACCACCTTCTTGGCCGCGTGCTTCTTCACCTCCTTGGCGATGTCCTTGGCCCCGCGGATGAAGGCGGCGCGGTCCCTGAAGCCCTCCTCCATGGCGCGGCTCGTGCGCCCCCCGCGCGGGACGCCCCTCGGGTCACTCCGCGGTGGCGGGCGGCGATCTCTGCCCGGCACGGAGCGAGGCGAGGCCTCTGCGCGCCCGGGAGGGGGGCGGGGGCCCGCGGCCGGCACCCCGCTCAGCGGCGCGCGGGAAGGCGCAGGGGAAGCGGGCTAGGGAGAAGGGGAGCAGGAGCCAGGTTGGGGGGCTAAGCCCGGGAGCCACGAGACGTCAGCAAGGGCTGCCTATGTCCGGGGGCCTCTGAGATCTAGAAAAAATAAGAGGGAGAAAAGAGGGTTGAGAGGCCTAAGATGGGGAAGACGGCAATAGAGAGGCGGGGATCCGCGGGGCCGCCGGCCCTGCGCACAGAGCTGGTCTCCTCGGTTCAAGCCCCAAGAGGAATGACTCTCCCGGCCACTGCGGGGCATCCGCAAAGGCTTTAACTTTGACCTTGGGGACTGGACCCCAGTGATTTGCTCCAGCGTCGCAGGCGCCTACCCAGAGTCCTGCCCCTGAACCCCGACCCCAGGACAAGATCAGCGCCTGCTCGGCCACCACCTAGAGAACAAAACGGGAAAGAGGAGGAACCAGAGCCCCCTCCTCTAGTCTGATCTGGGTTTCTGATTGGGGGTGGCGCTTGGGGAGACTCTGTAGAAGGAGCCCCAAGTGCCCCAGCCTGTTGCCTTGAGCCCACTGATGGCGCCTGAAGGTGAGGCATCCAGTCTCTCCCTCGGATGCCCTGTGCAGGCCTCACAAGATGGGGCCTCCTCTCAGCATAGCCTGGTGGGTAACTACTTGGCTTCCAGCATCTAGCAGACGGGTTTGTCTTCCTGCTCCAGCACTTACCAGCTAAGTGACCGTGGGCCTGTTTCTGCACCTCCAAGCCTCAGCTGCCCCTTACTTCAGAAGGTAAAACAAGGGTAAACCGAGCCCGCGCATATAAGCTCCTTTTCACCGTCCCTGGCCTCAGGGCTGGTGACAACGAGCGTGACTGGCGACAGCAACACAGTGGGGTGGCAGCATACGCTACTCTAGGCCCGCGCCGTGTTAGCGACATAGAGGAATGCCCTCTACTCTCTCACCGGACCCACGGCAAAAGTCACCTCTGGGTGTTTTAGGGTGAGCAGCAGAGAGGGACAGCGGCAAGGGGAACGCTGGGCCAGTGCGAGGCACAGGGCGGCCCTGCACCTACTGACTCATCGCGGGCAAGTGACCTGACCTCCTTAAGCCTCAGTTTCCTGATACGTATATTGGGGGTAACCATCTCCATTCTTCCCAGTCTATGTGAGAATTTAATCTTACAGTACATATTAGTCCAGACATCTTAGTGTCCTTCCTAGTACATAGAAAAATGTGGAAGAAGCCAAAAGCAGCAAGAAAAGCGGGGAGTGGTATTTGTTTCTGCTGTTGCCCTCCCCCCCCCAACCCCATATCCTCCCAAACAGAATGCAAGGGCCCTCCCTCTGCGTCCAGACGAACCCCGCAGCTGGGCTACATTATCAGACAAACAAGGGGAGACTCAAAAAAAGGGCGGGGGGAGATCTGAAACCTGAGGTTGAGGAAGAAGAGGATCAAAAACTAGTACGAGTTGTTGTGACTGGCTGGGCCCACCTGCCCTCGGCGTGGGCCAAGCGCACTAGGGAAGGGGATGGAAATGACTGATCAGACACATTTCGAACATGAGGGGTCTAAGGTCTACAGATGCACCTCATTCCTCCAGGGCCTCCCCTTCCTAATCCCCCTAATCCTTTCTGCTCCTCCCCCAGAAGTCAAGGAAAAAGGAGCCTACAAATACCGCATTGCGTAGGAGGCTGGTGTGGATGAAGGGGGGCTTGGGCCACCCCTCCAAAAAATACATCCTCCAGAGGGAGGCATAGGAGAGCCCCCCCTTCCTCCACAGAAGCAAAGGAAGCAGGGCCAGGTTCTGATCAAAGATCATTCCACTAAAAATATCCCTTTTTCTTCTGCCCCCACCTATCCAGGGCCTTCATTAAATGTGGCACACACACACACACACACACACACACACACACACACACTCACTCGCAAGCGCCCTGGTGGAAAGGAGTAGAATGCTATGTGTTTCAGAGAAGCTCTGGCAAGCAGCGCCTCCCCCCTCAGGACGGAAGCAGTGGGCCACGAGGGCCAGACACACAGACCATGTCACCTTTTTTGTGTGGGGTTCAGATGCCCCCCCTCAGGGAGAGAAACTGAACCTCCTCATTGCATGGCAATTTGATCTCTCCTTGCTTTCCCGGACAGGATTTCTCCCCAGACCCTAATGGAAGCAGGCGGACCCACCTGGAGCCATACCCTATGCTGGGTGACCCCATTTATCCCAAGAGCTTCGTGAGGGGTAGAAAAGGACCCCCCGGGGCCATAGCAGGATGATGGCTCCACGGCCAGCTCCCCGGAGCCAGCAGGCCCTGGGGAGAGAGGCAGGAGGCAAAGCTCGGACCTGGTGGAGAAGTGTGCTATTTTTAGTCCCCAAAGCAGCACAGGGTGGCTAAGCCTGTGCTGAGCACCCGAGGGTGGCAGGGGTTAAAGGAGGCAAGACTCAGGGTCCGCCATCAGTCCGGCCCTCAGCTAGCCTCACCTGCCTGGGAAAATGTGCTCAGGAGATTTTCTGCAGAGGCTGGAGGGGGTGCCGGGGCTTTGGAGAGGGGGCTTCCGAGAAATGCCTTTCAGGACAATTCACTCAGCCCGGATAAGAGCAGGGTCCAGGGGCTCCACAGAACCCCCCACCCCACCCCCAAGTCCCTGACTGTGGTAACCCCGGATTCCCGGCCACCCTAGCCCGGGTGACAAGGTCATTAACCAGCAGTCTCTCATCAAAACATTGCGGGGGGCCCCGGGGGAGAAGGTCCAGGAGCACCTCTCGCTGCCACCGATGGCGATGGAGCCGCCACCCAGGGCAGCCGGCGCGCCCGTCTCCTTCCCCGGGCTCGGAGGATGAGGCGCCCACAGTTGAGGGAAAACAGATGATGGTGTCAGCTGAGAAGGCGCTGGGGACGTGAGGCGGCGGCACGAGGCGGGGATGCGGGGATGCAGGGAGCCCCGCGCAGCGGGCAGCGGCGCCCGCACCCCCCGCGACCCCTCCCCCGCCTCATCTCGCCCCCAGTTGGGGACCAGACCCCGGAATCCGCCGCCGGGCCCCGGGCCGCCTCCCCTCGCCGGGTCCTGCAGCTGGAAGGCGCCCTTCCCCCAACCGGGCCCCGCTCCCGCGCCCCCGCGCCCCCGCGCCCCCGCGCCGCCCCGACCCCCGCCGGGCCCCGCGACCCCCGCGAGCCCCCCGCGCCCCCCTCACCTGCCCGAGCTCCGCCGCCCCCCGCGGGCCCCGGCAGCAGCCGAGGCAGCATCCGCGCCCCGGTCCCAGCCAAGGTCATTTGTCATGGGGGGGGAGGGGGCGCAGGGCGGAGGGGGCTGCGGTTTGCGGGAACCCGGCCCCCCGGAGCAACCCCCCCCCCCCCGGCGCGGGCACCTGCGGAGGGCGCGGGCCGGGCCGCGGCGAGACGAACCCCCGCGCCCCGCAGCCCCGCTCCCGCGCAGGGGCGGACGCGCGGGTGCCGCGGCCGACAGCCCCGGCCCGGCCCGGCCCGGCCCGGCCCCGGGAAGATGGCTGCGGGGCCCCGGCTCACCTGGCTGCGCGCGGGCCCGGCGGGCGGGGGTCCGGCCGGCTGGCGCGGCGACCGCTCGGGGACGCGGAGCGCACTGCAGCCGGCGCGCTCGCCCCTCCCCGCGGGAGAGACCATTGCGGGGGCGGAGGGACGGGACGCGGGGCGCGCGGGTGCGTCGTCGCCCGACGGCCGCGGCGCCCCTCCCCGCCCCCCCCCGGGGCCGGGCGGCGGGGCCCGAGGGAGGCGGGGCGGGGGCGTCGGGCCGGCGGCGAGCGGGCGGCCCCCGCGCGGCCCCGGCCCCCGAGCTGGACGGGGGGGCTCCGCCGGGAACTCGCGGGGCCTCTGCCGCCGCGCGGCCCTGGCTCGCCCCTCGCCCCCCGCGGCTGCCCAGCCCCGGCCCGAGCCCCCCGTGCCGGGAGGGGACCCCGGTTCAGCGCGGCGAGGGGCCGCGTGGAACAACAAAGAGCGGGTTTCCCCCGCGCGGGGGGGCGGCCTGCGGGCCCCGCCATCGCCTCCAGGGCCGCCCAGGCCACCTCGCGGCGCAGACCCGCCCGCCCGCCGCGGCAGGAGAGGGGCGTGGGGAGCAGGCGAAGGGGGCCGGGGCCTCACCCGCCGGACCTCTGGCCTCGCGTGCATCTGCTCCGAGGACGCGGAGAGGCTCCCGCGGCCGCCTTCCCACGCTCGCGTGCGGCCCCCACCGCCACGGGCGCGCGCCTCGGCTTCCAGGGCAGGGAGGAGCGGCGGGGCTCGTTCCACCCGTCCACTGCCCCCGTCCAGGTGCCCCCCTCGAGCTGATCACATCAGATTTGATGCGATCTGGGAGGTTATTTTTGAGGCCTGGGAATGCTGTCAGGTCCAATAATAAATATGGAAAATTTTTGCACAATCCCAGGCCCAAAAAATAGCCGACCAGGTGAAAGGTTCTGCTTCTGGACGGGGAGGGGGGGGGAAGCTGCACCAACAACCGGGCTCAGGAAGCCGGGGGTGCAGCGCTGGTGGTGGCCCCTGCTCCGGGGTGAGGGCCACGTGGTGGCTGGGGGCGGTCGCCTTGGCTGTGTCTACCTGTCCCAGGTAAGACCATCGGGTATTCTGGACAGAGCGCTGGCAGGGGCTCTGACCCGGATCCCCACAGCGGGCTCTTGGGTCAAGGTCTCTGCCTCTCTGAACCTCATTTGGAAATGCAAGGGCTTGTCTGAGATGCTGCAGCAATCCCTTTCGGATGTCACAGTGCGTGATGCTCTACTAAAAGCAGAGGTTCCAGGATGCTGGGAGGTGTTGCCCGGAGGGACCCGCAGGCTGAATCCCAGAGCCTTACTGGGCCTTTGCGGGGTTGAATTTGACCACTGACAGAATGTGGGCCTGGATTTCCCGACTCCAAAGCTACATCTTGGAAATACTCTTGTTCCAACCAAGTTTACTGAAGTAT